TCCGGAGGACCAATGTAAAGAAATAAATGTCCTATTCAAAATACTACTCGAAAATAACTACCCAAAAGAATTTATAGAAGATAATACAAAAAAGAGAAAAAAGAGGGTAAAACCGGAGAATGACAAGATGGAAGAATGCAAAAAGACAGTCACAATACCATATAAAAATGGTACATCAGAGGCAATTCAAAGAAACCTCAAAAATATCGGCATTCACACAACTTTTAAACCGACAAGTCTAATCAAACATAAAATAAATCAACTGAAAGATACCATAAAAATGATGGATAGAAACAACTTGATTTACAAAATATCTTGTGCTGACTGTCCAACTAAATATGAGGGGCAAACGTCCAGATCACTCAAAATAAGAGTGAATGAACATAAACGCCTAACCAAAGGTCAACCAACAGGAACACAAGCCTACAAAAATCTTGAAAAAAATTCATCGATAGCTGCATATGCATGGGACAAAAACCACAATATCGATTGGAACAATATGTGTATTCTAAAAACTAACATGAACAAATGGAAAGAAAGACTTATAACAGAATCGATATTCATTAAAGTCACACCGGATACATGTAACAAGGGTGACTCAGTACAACTATCAACAACCTGGAATATAATTCTGAATACAAACACATGAATGAACGTGGAATATAACTCAAATACAAAAAAAATATGAATGAGCAGAAATAATGAACTATGTATATGAGTACAAATCATAAATGTGTGAATCAAACAATTCCAACAGTGGTGTGAACACGGGCAGTAATTTTGCTCGAAATATTACCAATAACAAAACTTATCATTGTGTGTAAACTATTGAAATATAATTATACTTTATGTGTCTGTGATATTCAGGCACGGAATTTCTTCACGAATACTCCCACCCGCATCATCCATTAGCACACTGAGCTGAACAGTGGAAATGAGCCAAAAACACCTGGCAGGCTGCATATGATCGCAATATGCAATAATGACTTTTTAAACATTTTTGATTATCTGTTCTTATCGGTGGGTGCGAAATGTATCAAGTCGGTTCTAAATCAGAAAGCACGACTGTCTCCATGACATTACCTTATTCAGTTGACGAGAGAGAGGTACAACGATTTGGGTAGTGAGCTAAAATATCATCCCTGGTAAACTTATCGAATATGACGTGTAATTCACTTGATACAAATACATCTTTAGTGCGCACTTTATGCATTCGACATGTCATCATCAGGTAGCTAGATAACCATGACGCATCTATCCACTGCTGGCTGGTTAGTTAGAAAGTTAGAGCCAATTGGTGAAAAGCTGACAGCTTTGAATTTGCTGAGAATTTGCTATGCCTAAACGTCTCCAACAAAGCCATGGTTACAGTGTAACAACAGAAGACAAGGGCCAGGCAACAGAACCTTTATTACGGAAAATCAACACATATTTATAGATTTTGATGTACATTATTGTAGGTTAATGTTAGTAGAAAATACAGTCTGTTGATTGGTTGCTTCTTACACAAAGTTAACCTTGCATCTCTTGTGGCTGTGTCAGTTCATCTATGTGTTAACTGTATCCGCCTGTCCATCTTGACCTTGTTTTCACATGACTAACATTGACCTCAATTACTGTCAACCAATTTGGCTAGCAACCATCTCTCACCACAACAGGATGTCATCATGAGCTGACATTAGTTAGAGAACCATTGGAAAACCAGATGGGAGTACTGGACAGCTGTTTCGTCCTAGTTTGTGACTCTTCATCAGTACGCACCCACCGCGGTTCGAGCCCAGGACCTTCTGGTTACAAGGCGAGGTAGCTCGTATACCATTAAGCCACTGGGTTCCGATCCAATGGCCAGTCCATGAATTCTAACTTCTGACATTTCACGAGCAACCGTTAGCCAATGTCTTTGGCGACTGTTTGTCCTCACATCCGACCTGCTGCACCCCACTGGTCACGACTTCTCACTGGAACCCCAGGTAACTACCTACCTGAATAGGGCTAGTCGCCAATGGGCATCTCATTCATATTCAAGTATTGGTTTGTAGGGATTTGGGTTTTGCCCAAATATCTACAAACGAGAGGTGGTCAAAACTCTTTAATGGAGACAGGAGAATACGCTCTACAAAGAAATTAGAGGAAGAATTTCTGATCCTTGAAAAGATGTTGAAAAACAGCGGTTACCCTGAGAAATTCATTAACAAATACAGAAAATGTAGAGGTTCAGATAACAAAGAAATCACAATTGAATTTTAAAGGTAATATTATTATTGCAGGAATGGTTAACAGAAAATTGAATGCCTCACTAGCCAGCCAGAGCCTATCCTGTAGTGTAGCTAAGTTGGTTCCTATTTATCAGACAAGATGCTCTTTGGTGCAGTCAGAGGTCAAAAGATAAACCTTCTTATGTTAAATCTAACTGTGGATATAAATGAATATGTATCTGCGGTAGTAGTTACATTAGGAGGACAGAAAGAAGAGTCCAGCTTCTGTCTTCTAAACCTGGACCAAAAAGCCTGTGCCTCCAGGGAATAAAAGCTTACAAAAGTTCTGTTCCCAGGCACCTCATCCATACAGATCATAAAGTCAACAGAAAAAAATTGTTCGATTCTCCCCAAGTCTTCTCAAGCAGTTGCCATCAAACGCCAAAAATACCCAACTTATATGTTCAGAGAGAAGCAATTATTAGTCTTTTTTACCTTGATAAATTAATGTTCGCACTCTCTCTTTTACTTGATTACGTAGTCGTTGACTTTAACCCCTCCCCTCTTTTGATTTAGTGTGACTTTATTTGTTTCTTGTTTCTGTGACTCGAGCTGAACTCACCAGTCATTGCTACTCAACTTGTTAGTTACTCAACATCTTATCCATCGCTTGCCTTTATTGTTAAGCAGCTTCTTTTCCATTGTATCCAAGAATTTGCTTTGGTTTAAAATTCATGGTATCATTTAGTGTGTCCTCATTATATACAAATATTCCTTCTGACTATAGACTATAGAAATTGTGTGTTAATTAACATTCCAATCTACTTCTTGCATGTAACCAGGAATTTAAACACCTAAGAATGTACAGTTCACATTGAACGGTGTCATATACCGCTATTATGGGTAAATTTTGTTTTGATAAAGTCTCACAGTGTTATACAGTAATGTTCACTGATGACCACGTTTCGAGCACAATTTATTGCTCATAATCAATCATATCAAGGTAATCACACGACTTCCTAAATTCATTTATATAGTTCCGTTGTTTTTCACTTGATTTGATTGGTAGTAATATTTTCCATATTTCGGGTATGAGTGATGAATCATTTCTATTGCATGTGTTTTGTTGAGTGTATATTCGATGAACAAGGATTCAGTAATCAACCTCTCTCGCTCTCCACCTCCTTAGATTACTTTTTAGAATTTTAACCCTCTCCCACCATGCTATTGTGTGGTTGTGTGTTAATGCATGCATTGCAATTGCTGAGCTTTTTTCTAAATTACTTATCTTCTCGGGGTCAACCATTCTTACCTTAGCTAAATTCTTATATTCTGACAATCTGACTAACCCTGACCTCCCAGTCAACTACATAGGTCAGACGTTAAAGAGAATAATGGATGCCTGCCATTTTTAGATGTACTAATAACCCGCTGAGAAGATGGGTCAGTAAAACGATCTGTCTACAGAAAGTCCATATGGACGGGACAGTACCTAAATTATCATAGTTTCTGTCCACTACAGTATAAAAAGGCGTTGGTTAAATGCTTGTTCAAGCGCATTCACCGTATATGTACTGCCGATACAACTGAAGAAGACAACACCTCACTGAAATATTGTTAGATAACAATTACCAACTGAGATTTATTAGACGTTACGGAAGTGTCAACCATAGAGCTTCATCAATCCAATCAGCACCCAAAAATGATGTTTCCATATCCTTGCTGTTCAGAGGTGATCAACAAAGTCTAGTCACTACACAAAGTCTCAAGACCGCAATTAATAGAACTTATTATGCAGCTAAACTTATCGTCATAGAGAAAAGGAGAACTATGCTATCCTATAAACCCTCACAGTATCCAAAAGATAGTGTCACATCCCATTGTGTTTATCAATTTTCACGTATGTGTGGACACACGTACATAGGGAGGACCCATCGGTCTCTGCAGGTTAGGGCTACAGAACACATTCCAAAGTGGCTGCAACAACAAATGAAATTACCAGACACAATTGAACCCGGAAATAGATGTCCAACATCATCTAAAGCGAAGCATATTACAGAAATGGGTCATAAGGTTGATTTCAACAATGCCTTTAAGCCGATATATAAAGCAAGGTTGGGCCACATACTTAAATTCATTGAAGCCTTAGCCATAAAAAGACTTAAACCTGTCTTATGTGTCCAAAAGTTATTTGTTATCACCTTAAACCTGCCTTGGTAATCCAATTTAGAACCAAGAAGCAATTTACTTCATAATATTTCCAGCCACTTCTTTGCCTTGTTTTTCTCCTTTTGTCTTTCTTACCAACACCTTTTGCGTCTCCCTAGCCATTATTCGTGACCTTGACCTGTATACAATCTGACCTGTATTGTAATTATTCGTGCCTTCTTGCATTATATAAAAACTGTGTATGACAAGTACGTGTGTGGTCAGAATGTCCAAAATGTGTTGCGCCAATACATTACACGTTTCAGATAAACTACGTCTTCTTATTGTGTTGTCGCGATAGAGAATCGTTGGAAACAGCCAGCGGAATACTGGACAGAGTTGTTTCGTCCTCGTTTGTGACTCTTAAACAGGGCACAGTCATCATTCAACCGCGGAGACTCGAACCCAGGAACTTCCGGTTACATGACCAACAACAAAGTGACCATCCAGCCGATGGGTCGGACTTGTGAATGATCTGTGAATTCTCACTTCTGTCACTCTGTGATAAAACGCCACACCCCCATCTAATGCACTTAATGAGCGTTTTTTATTTGTCGGTTGTTTATACTTTGACGTTCTTTAAAGTAGTATAAACAGTCATTGTGAATTAAATTTCCAATAAATTCTGAGTCTTACCGAAAAAATTTGATCCGGTTGTAGAGCTGATACGTTCGATGAATTATTATTATTATTGTCATTATTGTTCATTTCATCAGCTAACTGATTTTGTACGAATTCAGTAAAATCCACTCCCATAGAATATCCATCCACGCTTGAGTCGACTGATTTTCTAGTGTGATTACTAAAAATTATAAAAAAAATAAAGAGATTGGTTGAGATATAAGAAACGTTAGAATAGAGGTAGAGTGATTACAGCCTCTATAGGTCAGCTGCTGTTTTGTTTCAGCAATATATATATGTATATAACTGTAAACGAAAGTTAAATGAAGCCGTTGGTTCCTATGACCCTTGCAAAATCGATGATACTGATATAGAAACCAAGTCTGAAGTTAAGTATCTTGGATTAATTCTCTCTTCTGACATATCCTGGTCCTCCCATGTTTTAGCGATTTCCTAAAAGAATATTTCGTTTGACTTTTTACATTCAGAAGTTGAGGCACTCAGGCATAACCCAACCACTCCTCTTACAGTTTGTCAACTCGTGTATTTTACCTATTCTTCTTTACTGTTCACCCTTATTTTTTCCTGGATTGCTTAAAAAAGACTATGTCATACTTCGTAGAACTCTTAAGACTGTCAGTAGAACAAGTGGTATCCCATTGGGCCATATCGTTGAAATTGTCACGGATAGGCACTTGATGTGCGTCGGTGGCACAGTGGTTAGGACTCTCACCGACTATGCACATGGTCCGGGGTTCGAACCCCTACCGACGCACACCCGATATCAATGGTCGGCCTGCAAAATTTGGGCTACCGATATCCATTTATTATTGTTGTGGAATAAAGTGAATTATTATTATTATGTCATGCAACAAATTCGCTAAAGGAATTTTGTCAAACTCTGAGCACCCACTCTACCCGCAGCTCCAACCTTGTGTCTCCTCAGGTAAAACAAGAAGTCTTTTCAGAAGAATTTATGCACGTACATCTAAGTATAAAAATTCCACTATACCATATTTAGCACGTACTTTATGTGATGAAAATAGTGTTAGGCATGAACTAACCAACCTTCTTTGCACTACTAAATAATCCATTTCCTCCACCCTTACAACATCAAACTTTATTGTCATTGTATTTCTTATACTTATAATCCTCTCAATTTTTTGTTTTGTTTATTTTTTTCATAAGTATGGACATAATTTAAGCTGTATTATAACTGTTAATTTTGTGTTTCCCCTCACTATACTATATCAACAGAACATTAGATCCAATAATCTATAACATGCTAAAGTTTCCAAACTGAACCGACAATACCGTTTGAAACAAACTCACTGTTATTATTATTGTTATTATTATTATATTTAATAATCTCAATTCGTGCTTCGAATATTTTTGACTTCATATCGTAAATTTGGACAAATTCCTCCGGTTAATTTCGTTTTAATTTTTAATTTTATTTATATTTTGAGTAAATCAGATGCAATATTGTGACAAATGCTGAGAATTCCATTCTGTATTATAAGTACTGTTTTTGGAATAAAGTAGATTATTATTATTATTATAACTGATAAGAATGCTTACTATATCCAAAAGACGTTCAAATATGGTTTAAAGACTATCGATATGAAGGGCAGTAAACAGATGAAGAAAATAAGATACTATCCAATCAGTAATTCCTTACTGGTCGGATTCCTTAGGGTAGCATATTACGACAGTTTTTGTGACAACTGGTCGTTCCTAAATTATTGAAAATGTCCATGGTTTATTAATTACTGTCTTGTGACGATATATATATATATATCGAGTTTACATAGATGAACTGACAGAATAGTCTAAATTTTGCGACATATTAAAGTGCGGTGGTGAACACAGACCAGTGGAATGCTTCCCTATGAATTTGCATTAAAGTCTGAAATATATGAGAGCACACTTGTAATCTAACATTGTGAAAACGCCTCTATTATTATTATGATTGTTCCCTTGGATTCCTAGTGGAACATAGGGCTTCAAATACACGTCTCCACTTGTTTCTGTGTTCTGCTGTACTTTTCACCTCCATCCATGTTACTCCATACTGTTTCAACTCCTCTTCACACGATCTCATCCATGTCACCCTTGCACTGACGACGAACTCGCCGCTTCCCTTTCGAGTTCCACTCGAGCACTGGTCTGACGCGCGATGTCACCCAGTGGCCTCCTCAGCGAGTGTCCATCTCCATCCATCTCCACTTTCTCCTGAAAATTTGTTGAGCGATTGGTTCTTGTTTTGTTTCTTCCCATAGTTTCTTGTTGGTTCTTGTTCTTTCCGGCCACCTGATTGGTCTTCAGTATAGAGCGAAGACAGTTGTTGATAAAGGTGTGCAACAGGCTGTTGGAAATATTCTTTGTGACGCACTGGCCAAGTTTCTGATCCATCCGTATAGAAGAACTGACTGACTTGACGTTTGTATTGAAAATCTGAATCGTTTTGTTGTTGATGGTGAGTTGAGTGACGAAGATTTCCAGATTGGTTTCAGGTTGATGAATGTGTTTCTCGCCTTCCCGATTCTCGATTTGACATCGTCGTCCGTTCCTCGTGTAGTTGAGACAATGCTCCCTCCCTAGATAAGTGAATGAAGTAACCTCTTTCAAATCCCTCCCGTTGATGGTGATTGAAGCTGGATGTTGCTGCTGTTGTTGTTGTTTGGTCGGTTATTTTCATAACCTCCGTCTTGTCTATGTTCACCTGGAGTCCTGCCTTCTCTGGCTGCTTCTTCGACCAGTTTGTCGGTCGGTTTTCGCTTGTAAGTCTTCGATTTTGTGTGACATCAAACATAAATCATCCACGCGCGAAATCCAGGTCTTCTAGGTTCTTCACGTCGGTCGGTCCAGGATATCCCTGTCTTCTCGTTTTCCACTGTCTGACGCATAATCCATTGCACCACAATAAGAAATATCATCGGTGATAATAAGCACCCTTGTCTGAATCCTGTGTTTACTCCAAAAGCCTCGCTGAGTTTTCCGTTGTGGATCACTTGACATGTGCCGTTGTCGTACAGCTGTTGAATTAGGTTGATGAATATTTGGGTTACGCCGTAGTACTCAAGTAGTTTCCAAATTACTTCGCGGTCAATGCTGTCGAAGGCCTTCTCAAAGTCTATGAAGTTGAGGTAGAGGTTTGATTGCCATTCCATGCTTTGTTCTGTGATGATGATGCGTAGAGTTGCAATTTGGTCAGGACATGATTTGCCTTTCCTGAATCCATCTAGTTCTGATCGGAGTTCTGCATCCAGTGCGTCTTTTTTTCTCTCCAGGATGATGCGACTCAGGATTTTACTTGACGTCGACAGGATAACGCCTCTAAGGGCCATTAACTATCAGTCTCAGGTTCCATATGCAAAACGTTTCATTCCGAGATCACTATCCATGCTTCAAAAGACAAATGCAAACTGAAGTAAATCCAAAATAGGGAAAGGCGCCAGGTCAATTATAAGAGTTCTACAACTGTAAACCTTCCACTGCTTCTAGAATTACAAATCTTATCAGTCACTACTATGATGTTTGCAAGTTGAGATCAAACTGCAGTTCTCTGAAATCGTGAAAGCTGCCGATACTCCATACTAGTGATCAAATGGTCATGTGAAAAGAAGAAGCAACAAGGAACTGTGCTGACGAACCAATAAAAAATCCATCACGCCGAGGAGACCTTAGACTAACAACATCATGCACTAGACCCCTGAATGAATGGAATGCGGATGGGAAACCACTAGTTGCGCTGAGAGGGTGAAATCGAAGAGATCATTTGAAAAGGAAATTAAATGTTTCATACAACCGGTTCCCTTTATTAGTTTGAAGAGAGAAAGAACGAACATGTTTGCAGGATAATACGAGCTCGTTTTATTTCGTGGATACTCATCAACTGCATACATCCTAAATTAAATTATAAGTTTCAAAAAAGTTTTGGAACATACTTTTTTATAATTACTTAGAGTTATAGATAGAAGGCATAAAGAACATAATTCCAGAATTTGATGTAGGTAGACAGATTATTCGGTTTCAAAAACAACTAATTATATATGGTGGAATTAGATAAGAGGGGTTAGAGTTCAGATTTCTATTGGAAAACAACACAGATTAGTTAGAGGCATATTACAGGGGCAGGGTCAGAGAACAGAGTCAATTTACACATCTTGTGGTGGAGAGTTTAAGAGGGTGGGGGTGAATAGTGAAGTAATATTTTTTAACTTAAACAGACAAACAATTAAGTAGATTTAGAAACTTGAAGGCCAAAATTGAATAGAATGTTACGTAACAAGACAAACACACAGGCATACTGACAAAAAGGTAAAACAAAATTAAATTAAATTAAATAGAATTAGGGTTACCAGGGTAGTGAAAGATTAATCACACTATCTTTCTGTATACAGAGGTCTGGTCGAAATCTCTTGATAGCAATGGCTTCTGCGAAGCGAAGTAGCCGTGGGTTTCTTTGTGTATTGATTAGTTTGAAGGCTTGGTTAATTTCTACTGTGTGTCCTGTGTCAATTAAATGTCTGGCGATTGCACTCGATAACACTTTTCTTCCTTTTGTACGGAGACTCTTAGGAATGTGCTCAGAAAATCTAGTAGATGCTGTCCTCTCAGTCCTTCCTATGTACTTGCTTCCGCAAGTGCAAGTGAATTGGTAAATGCAGTTGGAGTTGACGTGAGTAGGGTACTCATCTACTTTTGACTGGGTTAACGAGCACACAGTGTTGTGAAATAGGATCAGTCTGGCGGCTGGAAACGTTCTTTTTAATGCACCTGTGATTCTTTTTTGTGTTCTTGTGGATACGTCTTCCCCTTTGTACGCTAGGCAGATGAAAACTGGTTTCTTTTCAACGGTGTCAGGTTTCGGTTTGTGTGTTTCTTCATTTCTATACTTTAATATGAACTTTCGGGGATATCCATTCTCGATAAGGTTCTTTTCGATGACCGCGAGTTCTTCTTCAATCTTGTCTTCCGAACATATTTCTTTGGCTCTGCTTATGGCCAATTGTGGAGCCGACTAGAGAGGATTGCGGAGAACACAGTAAGCTGACGATAATCTACTGAAGTCCTATTTTCCTTTAAGAACTTAAGGGAATAACAATATTAGAGTAGTGATTGCATCGGTGGCACACCGGTTAGGACTCTCACCGACCATTCACATGGTCCGGGGTTCGATCCCCTGCCGACGCACACCCGATATCTATGGTCGGCCTGCAGATTTGGGCTACCGATATCATATGCTGAAAATTCCATGCTTGTACTGAAAATATGGTGTGGCATCAAGCTGTAATAAAAAAAGAAATCAAAAAAAGTAATAATAAAGGTTAAATCTGTTACTCTCAGCAATTAACATACGGGCTTTGACTTTCACTACAGCTTTTCCAGTTTATTTTAAGGCCACACTTTTTAAACTGTTGTTTACTCCATCCAAAACGGAGACTTCTCTTTCGGAAATAAAATAAAATGGATAACAATAAAGGCAGAATGAGTAGAGAGAGCAAGCAGATCGACATGATTTGTGCGCCATCATTCACTGTCTGTTTATCTAAATAAAATTAATCAAAAAGAAAGAAAGGGATATATATATATATATGAAATGAAAGGAAACGGAAAAACAAAACTATTTAAAACTTTGACTAATTCCCCAATAGTATTAGAACTTAAGTTGCGAGCCCTTGTGAGATATATTATTGTAACAACAGAAGACAAGGGCCAGGCAACAGATCATCTATGTGTTAACTGTATCCGCCTATGCAAAGTCTGCTGTGGTCGGTTTTGAATCAGTCTTTGTTCATATTTTCTCACGACAAATCTTGAGAACGTTAACATTGACGTAAATTACTGTCTACCAATTTGGCTAGCAACCATCTCTCACCACACTCGTCCCCCGTCAAAGACTTGTGACTGAAGTTGGTTCGGTCTTCCCGGTTCTTGGGGCTTTGCTCTTTTGTCTTGCTGTCTGGAATCTCGGCGCGTGCGGATGTTCACTTGTTTCTCTGTGTTTACCATTGCGATTGTGTCTGAGTAACCCCATCTCAATGTGACCATATATGGTCCTTCCCACTTTGGAAACTGTTTGCCTGACCCTGTCGCACATTCGTAGGTATTTCGCCTCACACTTCCATATGCTGCTTTCTCCCAACCTCCCAGCAGCATCCCAAGTAGCAGCCTCATCGCTGACAAATCTTGAACGCCGCTCAACTGCGAAGAAGCCTCAAAGTCCTGCGCGAAGATCCATACGTCTCCATCAAAAACTGCAGGGCATAGGCTTTCCATTTGTCGGTAGGCAGCAACACCAAATGTAACAACAGAAGAGAAGGGCCAGGCAACAGATCATCTATGTGTTAACTGTATCCGCCTACGCAAAGTCTGCTGTGGTCGGTTTTGAATCAGTCTTTGTTCATATTTTCTCACGACAAATCTTGAGAACGTTAACATTGACGTAAATTACTGTCTACCAATTCGGCTAGTAGACAGCTCTCAACACATTATGACTTCGATTTTGAATGTTATTTTGGAGAGATGACTGCTGAAGTCAAAACAAGTGCCTAAGGCATAGTATGATTGAAACCAGGGGCCTCTGTATTTGTAGTGTGTCTGTCTATAGTAGATTAAGTTTTAGATCTGTATTGTTGTTCAAGCCATGTCTAGATATGCGCCATTTTTACTGCCAAAGTTATCGTTCCGTAGTTCAATGAATCAGTAATTTCTGACTGACAGCAGAATGATTCGTGTCACATGCTTTTCGAGAGAAGTCGCTTACAGCATCCAGTGTAATCAGCTTTACAGGAGAATGTGAAGGAGTAGATGCAAATTCAAAACGCACACACACCATTGCTAAAGTACTTAAAAATCATCTATCTACCCAAGGGTTTCAGAATCACTTTCTATCCTACTGACTTATTCCTGCTGTACTTGAACTAGAGGAGTTTCCAGAAGTATATGAAAGCTACACTACTGCTTATATCCACTTCTGTGTGCATCTAACCTTTCATATGCTCTTTCGGGACTGATTACACTGGACTCTGTGAGCAGGTTCTCCAGAAACACAGAGCTGAAAACTATCAAGTTTAGTTGATAGAAGGCAAACATTGGATGATGAAGCTTTCTATTTGTGAGCACTTTAGTGAGTTAGGTCGCTTAACCCAACGCAGTTTATCCTTTGAAGTTATCTACAGGGGTCAAATTCAGTCACCCTTGTGGAGTACGTAATCATGTGATTGTACACCTTTTTGTTAGATGTTGAAATTAGAAACATTGTACATGACTCTTGTTTAAAACGATTTATGTTTAAATACATATTACTTCCAAGTGCAATTGAAATACACTATACTGTTGGTAGCTCCGCCTTCTCTCTGGCCATTTCTGTCAACTCACCCGACTCAAACCGTGTTGTATACTTTGGATTTATTGCAGGAACCTATTATCCTTATCCGAAGACAACTCTACAACCGGAACACAGCTTCTATCAGTAGACATGATTCCAACAGTCAACGCTTCTGTGGATTATATAAATAATTTGTAGCAGTGGACTTTAACAACTTATCCAAGTAACCTATTAATTAATATAACTCATCACTGCATTTTGATAATATATTGTTGCATTGTACTCTCATTGACTTGGATTTTTATTCGCATATTTTTTATGTTAATGAACTTGCTCTAAACAGTCCTCTACAAATTAATTGGTGAGCCCGTTTGAACATCTTAGTTTTATAAAAACCTTATATTTTTAATGTTATTATTTTTATTTTTGACTGCACATTTTATATATTTATATCTGTGTACCTGTATATTCGCATAATAATCATGTCTGCACCTACACGTTCACCTGCTGCAACTGAGACAAATGAGGCACAAGACTCATCAATCAACGCAATAGTCGATCTGCGTCTACCGCCATTCGGTTTCACTGAGCCGCGGATTTGGTTCGCCCACATCGAACCCCTCTTAGCTACCCGCGGAATCAAGTCACAGCTCGCGAAGTATGGATGTGTTTTAGCCGCACTGCCCACAGAGGTGCTAGCGGACATTAGTGATTTAATTGGCAGCGCCCCTGCAGAACACCAGTATGATAGGCTCAAAGCAGTCTTGATTCAAAGAAGGAGCGTTTCCCATAAGAAACGGATCCAACAGTTACTTACTGTATACGAGTTAGGCTCACGAACTCCATCTCAGCTCCTCAGGCACATGCGTCAACTGCTTAATCCACACAAAGCTGACGAAGTGGTTTTACTCTAGATGTGGTTGCAACGGCTGCCACGATATATCCAACAGGTTTTAACCATCTCCTCCAAATCAGTCGACCTAGACGCACTAAATGAGCTGAATTTACGCTTTCTCCTCTTGTGTAAAGCCGGAGCTCTAACTATCCATAAGCAAACGGCTCAAATGAGTGTTCAAAAAATGTTTTGTTACACCTCTTCCTTCACCTTGATTTTAATAATGTTTTTCACTGGTTAATTTCATTCAATTTCAGTTTATCTTCACTATCGTAACTGTTGTCATCACTGTAATTTAAATTTTCGACATCACTGGACCTACTTTGAACCTTTTAAAACCAATTTTCTTCTGCAAATAATCTCTCGTAATTTTGTAGTTCATCCACTTCAACTCTACTACCCCTTTGAAATATCATTCTAACTGTTTTTGTGATATGTTCATCAACTTGATTGAACAGAATTAGTTTTTAAATTTGTGACGGATCACCGTTCTAGTTTTTTGTTGGATTTAGTTACGCCTTAGTAACTTGCAGTACATTTTAGTAAATATGTAAGTGTAGGAATTGAGGAAGAAGTAGGAGTTATCGAAACGAATATTCTTTGTTCAATAATTTCATCTTTTTTCATTGAAGAAAAAATCGCCTACGCTGAACACTGACAAATTTTGTTTCTAACTTATACTACTTAAATAACTACAAAGTAGCTCAAAATGTTCGAAAGAATAATAATGAACACTTTTCTAGTTGATGCAATTAACTTACCTTGAAGTTGTAAATTAATTCTAAATGAACTTGTTCCCAGGTCATTAGTGAAAGTACACTGATAAACACCTTCATCAGTCAATAACAGTCTATTTATCTGTAATGTACTGATCCAGCCAAATGAATATTTTCTATTATTAATTATATATTTAGATTGTGGTAATGCATAGTGATGATGAGTTGCAGAAATTGATATTTTTGAATTCCATGAAGACGATGCATTGATGGCAATTAGAGATTTATTATTGTTGTTATTACCCCAGTTGTCGTCTAATATATATTTTCCATTAAAAGACCATATTGGATGAGAAAAATTCAGTTCAAGAAAACTGATCACATTGCATGAAACTATTATTGATTTATCTAAAACCCCATAGGCATTGAGACTACTATATACAAAACGTTTCCCTGTAAAAATGTGAAAATGCAAACCATTAGAATGAAAAGTATGATGTGATAAAATTGTTTGACATATAAAAAAGGCACCACTGAAACTTATACTCTATGTAACTAGGGATTGAACGCAGGACTGTTAAGCATTCAGTCACTAGGATAATTCGCTTCTGTTCCGACTGGAACATAGGACTTCGAGCCTTGTGAAGTTTACCCAGCCGTGATGTTGTTTATATCGCTTAGGATCACTAGCCTTACACCTTACCTTCCGGGTGCACTATGAGGTAGTAAACTAGGGGAGAATTGAGGTTGAGTCGAGTGGGAATCGGTGGGTATCAGAAGTTGATTAGTGCAATGTCCCTCATACATAAGGAGGTTCAGGTTGTTTTCCAGATCGACGCATTCCCAAACGTCACCTGATATACTAACTTAAAGTGAGCCCAGAGGGATGGGAAGGTTGAGCATAAATCAAGTGACCCATCCTATAGATGAAACAACACCACTTCCAGGCTCAAAGTTTAAGACCCTCAGTCCCACTAGGAATGCAAAAGAATGAATAGTCAGTGAGTTCACTTTGTAACTAAAAGGTTCGGAGTTCAGTCCATAGCCGAGTTGCTCGTGTGGTTCACGCTGATGAGGAGTATCAAACTAAGATGTAACAGCTATCCAATGCTCCTTTGATTTGACTGATATCATTTCGTGTACAAAATCCACCTTCAAATTAATAAAAATCTGAATTTATAAAATAATAATAGAATCATCAATCGTCGATATCCAACCGTGGTATTTACTTCGTTCGAAACATTTTAATATAAGATGAGCGTTGAAACATTGAACATTGAATCCAGAATCTTAGTGAGGACGTTTAGTTCTACTTATTCTCTTGCACAATAACACGTGAATTTACTCAAGGAACTACTCCACTTCAAAATAGGCACAATAAATTTAAAAAAAACCGGTAAAATGTTCAATTGTTTGTAAATAGTTGACTATCAGATATCGCTGCCTGTATGAGAGAAATGAAGCCCATTGATCTGATGTTTAAAATGTGTCAGTGGAAGAGATTATCAGGATTTACTCAAGATGCTAGTGGCAGATATCATTCCCTTCAGTTTTACTGTTCCATTTGTATGCTGACAGCTACTACCATGTGAAACTATCCTCAAATTACAACAGTTCCATACTTAGATTATAGTTATTTTAGAGATTTTAAATTCATTTCAGTGTGGATTCCGTCATGTACAAACCCATCACAGTTAGAGAACACTGAAAACTTCCAGGAAGTATACTGCATGGTCGTTTTGTCCTAGTTTGAGACTCTTCATCAGAGAGTACACCTTACAAAAACCCATAATCTAAATAAATATCGATCTTCACTTCACTGTTGGCTACTGGATGGAGGATGTCCTGAGGCTGTACTGACAAGTCCATAGCCAGTGGTGTCTGTCATGTCAGAATACAGTGAATGCTCATAGAAGGCACTACATCACGGGTCACTGAATTCCTGCAGAAGTTGCTGAATAGTCAACGAGCTTGGTCTTGCAACCTGAAGATCTCGAATTCGATCCCTGGTGAAGTCTTGGATGTGAACAGTTGAAGAATCACAGACTGAGACGAAACAGCGCTCACTAGTGTCTTCTAATGAATCGCCAACTGATAAACAAAGTAAATCGTTTAGACCTGAGACCATATTAACTCGCTGGGAGGTGATAACTATTTTTTGTTGTTGTTGAGTTTTTCATTTTTTTGCCACAATGCGTATATTTCTTTGTATGTTTATGTATACTTATTATCATTCATTTCTCTCTTGGGATCATAAAAACGCATTTATTCATCTCTAAGGTCAGATTAACCATGAGATGGTCACAAGTCAGTTATTGTAGTTATTCTGTTTGTTTCCTTTGATTTCAAAGTGTCCTCCGTCCCCCTCCCCGGACTACCCTAGAGACACCATGTTTAAATTTAAGATAAGTAATTTAATAAATGGAGAGAGACGGGGAGAGAGGGAAACTGCCTAACCAATCTAAATTATCATGTATATCACGAGTTCAGACCGAGTTTTAATCCTAATTCTGTAATACCGCTGAAAAGTGAAATAAAAAAAAATTTAAATAGATTTCGACCGACCAACCAACCATCCAAGGCACACACACACACACACACAACAAACAAAGGTGAGATGAGGTCAATGACATGGAATATTACTGAGCTGTAATCATAAAATGATTGTTGGTAATAATGGATTTTTGTCATTTTCGTGTGATGTGTACCATTAAGATATTTTGAAAAGCTTTTAGTTAGCCTTAAGGGAACAGTAGGTTTCATATTCGATAATTGAATTACACGGTCTCATGTGTCATGACCTCTATCAGCCGATGGAATTTATACACTTCTTATCTAAATTTATATATTTAAAGAAAGATGGAGAAAAGAAATGAAGTAACTTTAAAAAAATGATTATCATTATTATTGTTTCCTTTAATTCCTACAGGAACATAGGGCTTCAGCCGTGCGTCTCCATTGCGTTCGGTTCTCTGCTACAGTCTTCACCTGCCTCCAAGTCTGCCCACATTTTTTCATCTCCTCTTCACATGACCTCCTACAAGTCACCCTCACCCTTGCACTGACGACCAACTCGCCGCCGCTTCCCTTTCGGCCGGGTTCCACTCGAGCAATGGCTTGTCTAGTGATGTCACTCACTTGATGGCTTGTTTCCTCAGAGTATGGCCAGCCAATCCATCCATCTCCATTTCTTCCTGCCTATTTGTTTCACAATCGGCTGGTTCCTGGTGTGTTGGTTGGTTCGCTCATTGCCAGAGATCCCTCTCTGTTGCTGATCTTCTCTGGCCGGCCGGCCATCTGATCTTGAGTGGTATTGAGCGAAGACAGCTAGCTGTTAATGAAGGTCTGTAGTTTGTTTGAGATGCTCTTTATGACGCGCAGTGCAAGTCTCTGATCCATCCGTATAGTAAGTGGCACTGACTGACTTCACATTGGAGTTGAAAATCCGGATGTTATTTTTGATGCTGAGTGCTGGGTGTTGACCTCCACACAGACTTGAGAGTAGTGAAAGCTTGTCTTGCTTTTCCGATCGATTCTTGCTTTGATATTTTCGTCAGTTCCGTGTGCCTGTAGTTGAAACGATGCTTCCCAGGTAGGTAAAGGAGGGTGTTTCTTTCAGATTTCTCCCAATTTATGCTGATTGTTGTCTGTTGTTGTTGCTGTTCGTGGTGTTGCCCAGGAATCTTCATTACCTCTGTTTTATCTATGTTCACCTTAAGTCCTATCTTTGATGCTTCTTCTGACAACTTTTTGATAGAAACTACGAAATGATATCATCTCGCAAAATTTGCCTTCTTAATGCCTTATTCAAATTTATCAAATGGGGACTAATTGTTTTAATTTTCTCAAACGAAGGCTCCCGAAAGGTGGCACAGTGTTTAGGACTCTCGCCGACCATGCACATGGGCCGAGGTTCGATCCCCTGCTGACACACACCCGATATCTATGGTCGGCCTGCAAAATTTGGGCTACCGATATCCGTGCTGAAATTTACATACTTGTACTGAAAATACGGTGTGGCATCAAGCCATAACCAAAATAAAATAAAATAAATATAAGACTTCTGAACGGTCTTCTAAATCTGAGATGTGAAATTGTGATTCGGCGTGAACGATTAAGGTTTTATCGCAACTGCATTCCAAAATAAACATTTCCCTATATCATTTTACAAATCACTACGTCGAAATAAGTCAAAATCTTCACTCGCCAATCTTCAGCATCTTGCTGAATTAGAAATATGATCAAATTAGTGACAAACTTTCGAAATTTATTGAAACACACCAAAGACTAATTCCCGTTTAGGGATAATTTATCTTTAGTATGTCGAATTAAATTCACTGTATTTTGCAATGATATGGTAAAAAAGACTATAAGTTCCACTGAACAAAAATTAACAAAATCTTTGAAAGACACGAATCATATTTTGGAATTTCCTCAAGATATCCACAAGCATATGATTAATTTATCTAACTGCACTCTATCCCAACTACAGTTGGAAGCATTATCTTATGGATTGAAGTACAAAACAATTTCTATAAAAATAAACAAAATGGAAGTCCAGTCATAGTATGAAAACCTTTATAATCAAATCTCTGATTTAACTCCTTCTAGTAAAGATAATCTTGACTGGTTTGAAGTTAAATTGGTGGACATTTCTCACACCAGAAAAATGGTTTATCAAAAGAACACCACGCCGCACTTAAGGAATTAATCGAAAAAGATAATCTTATTATCCTTAAACCTGATAAGGGAGAAAGCGTTGTCATTATGGACAAATCGGATTATCAAAATAAAATGAATGACATCCTCAAAGATCAGTCAAAATTTCTGGTGGACAATGCTTCTGATAATGTGCTGCTTGTGGAAAAGCAGATCAATCGTCAACTTCAGATTTTACTGATGCATGGTTTTATAGATGAAAAACTTTATAATCAAATTAAAGCAAATGGGTCACATACTCCTCGGCTTTATGGCCTTCCGAAGATCCACAAAACTGGGAACCCACTGAGACCCATCTTAGACATGTCAAATTCTCCTTAACATAAAATCGCAAAATGGATTACAGAGGTCCTTACGCCTGTAAGAGAATCATTATCAAATCATTCTGTAAAAAGTTCATTTGATCTGACAGATACGCTAGACACCTTGAACATTAAGGATAAGGTTATGTGTTCAATTGACATTTAATCTTTATTCACCAATGTTCCCCTTAATGAAACTGTTGATTTCATCTGCGATTACATGACAAGCAATGAAATAAACTTACCTATTCCTGTAACTTACATCAGAGACATCATCTTAATGTGTACAGAAAATATTAGATTCACCTTCCAAGAAAAGGCATACAAACAAATCGATGGTGTTGCGATGGGTAGCCCTCTTGGGCCCCTGTTAGCAGATATTTTCATGTCGAAATTGGAGAGACAAATGCAAGGTATGCTTGGAGAATTTATGCTGTATAAACGTTATGTAGATGATACTCTCATTATTGGTAATAATAGTAAATCTATTGAAAACTTTATTACCCTATTTAATCATATTCATCCAAATATCCGAGTGACTTCCGAACTCGAATCGAATAACAAACTCGGTTTCCTTGATATTACTATGACCAGGAGAGATGATGGAACGATTCAGAGATCTATTTTTCGTAAACAGACATGGAGTGGACAATATCTTCATTTTACCAGTTTTGTTCCTATCCAGTATAAACGTTCTCTAGTGAAATGTTTGTTCTCAAGGGCCCGAAAAATATGCACAAGTGACACATTGATGGATGAGTTTCGACATATACATTCAGTTTTATTAGCTAATGGGTATCCGGAAAACTTTATCACTTGTCACAGTAAAGAAAGACCACATCTCGAAAAGACAGCTCTGGTACCAAAGAAAGCTATCTTTATTAACCTACCATTTAAGGGTGACCAGATTATGCAGTTGACAGCTCAAAGACTTCGGTCAGCCATCAAACGCACATTCTACGCCGCATCTCTTTTTCTCACTTGCCGAACATTTTCGATCCCTGTACCTACGATTAAAGGACGAAATTCTGTGGACTCTACTTCAAACTGTATCTACAAGTTCACCTGCAGCTGCGGTGACACCTATATAGGTAGAACCAATAGAATGTTCCAATGTCGTTGAAAAGAACATGTTTCAAAATGGCTACTAAATCATATGGAAAATCCCAATGCGAGTAATCTGAATAGAAATCCAGTTTCATCCATTGCAAAACACTTATTAATGTCAGGTCACAAAATCAGTATTAATGACTGTTTCACAATTATTTCATCACATAACTCTAATTCAAGGTTATTGAAGGTGATGGAAGCACTTTGAATTGATCACATACAGCCTAAACTGTGTGTACAAAAATCAATAGACTTCAATCTTCGCCTACCATGGACAACATGACCTATCTAAATATGATTGGTCATTAGTATGTACTTTTGTTTTTTATTTAACTGAGTAATTGTCATGAACTTTATTTTATTATTGTTAACCATGTTAGTTGTAAAGCGGTTGTAAAGAAACTACGAAATGATGCCATCATCTCGCGAAATTTGTCTTCTTAATGCCTTATTCAAATAGAATTATTCATTTTATTCTGATGAGAACTTTTAATCAGTCTCATATAAAACTCTAATATGCCCGACCACTAACTGTAACTTGAAAGTTTGTCTGTCTGCTAATCAGAATTCAAATTGTATTCATATTATTGTGATGATTGCAGATGTTATGTTTTGCAAGTGCATGAGCGTGAAGAAAATTTACTGAAAAAGAATATTCTTCGTTCAGAGTGACTATAATTTATGACATAGGAGTGTTTCACAGTGTTAAGTCGTGTATTCATATTGTCTGCCTTTATCTGTTAGTCACAGGGGAAACTGTTCGATTTTTATAAACACTCCATGACAAGGAGAGTGACTGTGCGAAAACTACACATGAGCTTAAAAGTTAGGCTTCTCCGGGTAAATATCGATAGCTTCAAATATATATGCAAAAGACAAACTACTCAGGTAAAACTGAGCTTAGAAGGAATACGAAAGATAACTTCAAATGGCTTTTAAGCATCATCTTTATCAAATAAAGTATAATTATATTTCAATAGTTTACACACAATGATAAGTTTTGTTATTGGTGATATTTCGAGCAAAATTAGTGCCCGTGTTCACACCACTGTTGGAATTGTTTGATTCACACATTTATGATTTGTACTCACATATATAGTTCATTATTTTTGCTCATTCATGTAGACGACACAATGGTAATAGTGAAAAAAAACGATATTGAGAAACTCTTCTCACACATAAACAGCCATGTCGACTCAATAAAATTCACTATGGAAGTAGAGGATGAAATTGGGGAACTACCTATGTTAGACTGCAAAATACAAAGAATAACAGATGGTAGCATTAAAACCACGCTATATAGAAAAACCACACACTCTGGAAGATTCCTCGATTATCACTCAGCTCATCCACTCACGGTGAAACGAGGATTAATACAAGGTCTTGCAGAAAGAATACGTAGACTTACAACAACGCCAGAGGACCAATGTAAAGAAATAAATGTCCTATTCAAAATACTACTCGAAAATAACTACCCAAAAGAATTTATAGAAGATAATGCAAAAAAGAGAGAAAAGAGAGTAAAACCGGAGAATAACAAGATGGAAGAATGCAAAAAGACAGTCACAATACCATATTAAAATGGTACATCAGAGGCAATTCAGAGAAACCTCAAAAATATCGGCATTCACACAACTTTTAAACCGACAAGTCTAATCAA